TTCATTAATAATGCAAACTCGACGAGACTTTAAGTTTATATGCAAATTAACTTTAAAAAACATGTTTACTTAATGCACCAGTCCCGGTTTGATTAATAAAATTTTGAACTGCAAAAGGCATTAAAATGATCATCAGGTGGTCGGATATTTATGGTACGTATATAACAATTGATTTTATAAAAATGATAATTATTATTTATCAAAGGAATTATTCCTTACGAAAATAACTATTTCAAAAAAACTAAAAAACAACTCCTCAAACAAAATCTTCATCATCATCATCTACTACTTGAAATTGTTGTGCAGTATCAATAATGAATTTTAAAAAAGCTGCTTTTTTTTTTGTTTTTTTAATCACGGGACAAAGGTAATTTTGTGTAAAAGCTGATATGATTGTGCATCTGATTTTTGTTTTAATGAATTTTCATTATTATGTATAGAGTGAAGATGTCCTATATTCCCTTCTTGTATCCGATAGAAACATGCAATAGATGATAGAAAAAAAAGTGATTTAAAAATAATTTGAAATTTAAATTATTGAAGGAAAAAAAATATTCAATTAGTTAAAGTTATAAACAGTATACCAAATGTTCACTCAAACGGTAAATAAATAATGGAAATAATTTTCTTATACAATTTGTTCATTGCCTTTTTCTTCAACACTTGATGCCTCCTTCTCCAACTTCTTTTCTTCTTCCAAATGTTTCTTCTCTCCTTCACATCTTTCTATCCCCATTTCCACAACTCTTTTTCAACCTCTCTATGTTCTCCCTCAACCCCTTTTCTGCCTCCTCTAACCTCTTTTTTAATCTTTATAATTAATTTTTATAATTATTAAATAGTACCTTCGTGTCACGTGACTTGGATACATAAAAAAGTTGTCAAGCACTTACTTGCATGGGAGGAAAATACTCGAACCCAAAGCCATTCATTACCTATTTTTGGGCACTCTGCCAAAAGTCTAACCTTCACTATTACTATTCTTGATAATTATAATCAATTAAAACAACATCATCGTTGTTTTCATTATCTTCAATTTCCATCTCCTTTCTTCTTTCCTTATCAACCCACTGTTGTAATGTTTTTCTTCTAGGATCAGTTTTTCGTTGATAGGAATTTTTGATTGTGAAAGTTGCAACACTTTTCTCTTTTCGCGAACTTCAAGAGCCATTCTGTTAAAAGAAAATCCACTTTTTTTGTTAAATAGATGTTTAAAATTTTCCCATAGGTTTCCAATTTGAAAGTATTTTCATCACTAGTAGATTTATTTTTTGATTTTATCTTCCTTGGTTATATTATATTGATTATTTGACTGATCTTTTGATTTAAATCAGAAAGTTGGTTTTTACAAGTTTTATATTGTAGCAAAAAACCAAGCAAGAGTCCATGCTCTTCTAAAATTAATTTTATTCATTTGGGTCTTCCACATAATTTGGGATCATGAAAGTCATCAGGAAAATTCATTGAAACATTTTTTTTGACACAAATACTATAATAGATATCTTTCTTTATTAAACAAAAATAAAATTGTGTTTAAAACTATAATCAATAATTGAATCTTATGTTTATTTGTGACGTTTGCTTACCTTGTTTGCAATGACAATAAAGCAACACCTTTTAGAACGAAAAATTTAATAAGAAATAGGGAGTGTTATTTTGATATAATCATTTCGTTTTAGTAGTCTTGAATCTCTTTAGATTGTTGTCCCCTAGTTTTCTTTATGCAATATGACAATCATTAATTAATGTTTTCAGATTAAACTAATTATAAGTATCAGACAAGAAATACCATTCCAAGCATAGTAAAGCCTTGTTTTTTTCTCGGAAAGAAATTTTTTTAGGTTGTGTATATCTTTACTTATTTTGTTATCTTTTTGGCCGGCATTATCTGGTTATCTTTATTTTAGCAGGCCAATCAATTTAAATCTAGGCCATAAGTATCTTTTATTTCCCCAGTAGATCAAATAAATTTATTTCAAGAATTTTTCTATGCATATGTTTCTTCAAAAGTTGGCAAGTTTCAAATAAGCTGGTAAACTCGCATATAAAACCAATTCTTTTCTGTTTTGCCTAATTTTAAAATTATACTTGAATCCCCCCACTGAACATTCATTCGGCTTTTCTTTCTTGATAATCTTACTTTTTAGAATAATGATACTTTAAAATTCAGATAAATTGTTGCAATTTAATTACTTTCATAAGTGAATTTCATAAAAAGCAAAATCACATTTTATTCATTCAAAAACTCCATATTTTGTTGGGAATTAAAACATTTCAAGGTTCATAGAAATAATGATTATTTTATAGAATATTTTACTATGAATTTCCTATGAATTTCCTAATAATGAATGATAAAGAGATAATTGATTACCAGGTAACAAATGGAGTAAAATGAATAATTTTGAAACTTTAATTCAGAAATGTGTTTAAAGTTAGATTCTCTGAGAAAATCATTGATTGTCCATGTGACACTTGATCTACAATGTCCAGTGACTGATAATCAAAGTTACACTTATCAATGCATTTTCCTATATATGCTGGCTAAGGGGGGGGAATAAAATTTTGGTGCACTTGTCTGAGGAAGTTTTTTTCAGTCAAATGAGATTAATGGAACTTTTGAATAAGGAATTAAAGCTTGGCCTAAATAATAATCCATTTTCTCTTTGAAAAAATGAATGAATGTGAATATACTATAAAATACTGAACCAAGCACAATATTAACAATACCACCAGGTAAACCGGATTCTTTAAGAACAGAGAGCAAAGCAATTTTAAGAAAATCAAAATTGTTGATTGGGTTGAATTAGAAAACTCATTGTCATTACCTTCATCTTTTGGTCGAGAAAAAATAATTATAATAAACTCTCTCTATAACGAACAAAAGCAGGAAATTAACATATGGAAACGGGAGGTTCGTTATAGAGAGAGTGAACTGTATTCCAGTATACATGTACGTCCAGTTATTTGAGGAAAAGAAATTTATTAGAACTTTAGAAATATGTATATTTATATTTGATTCGATTTGTATTTTACCTGCAAGTTTTTCATGTTAAAAGATAAAAAGTATTAGGTGTAAAATTAATGTATGAAAAATTAGTATGAATAAATACATCAATAGGAAATCTTTGAATACAACACGTCAAACACTTTCTTGTGTATGAAGAATATGGACAGCAAGATATCCAAAATTATAGATTGATCGATCTGTTAATGTCAACACTAATTGTAAAAGTAATAGATATTGCATTTGAGCTTCAGCAAATTCATTCAAGTAAATCTGCTATTTCGTAGATAATCTTTGATCCAATTTGTGTTGATGATTTTAAAATGCCTTTTAAGCAACTCGTACATACTACTTGATTCATTTTTTTGTTTAGTAGAATATGGAATTTTTACATAAATCTTTAATAATATTTATTATGCGTGTAATTTCCTTCTTTGCCTTTCCGGTTGAAGGATTATAACTATTAATATAATTTTCTTTGAAGAAATTTTCATGTCAGAAAAAATAACAATTATTTAATCAATTATTGTTTATACAAATATAGAAATATTAATTTAACTTTACTCAAATACTCTATAAATAATAAATTAAATATTAATAAAAAGCAAAAAATTGTCCATAAAAATAAGATAATAATTATTACTATTATACTATTAACAACACCATTACAATTATTTATTACATTGTTACTATTATTAAACCATTACTTTTATTCCTCTACATCAAAATTTCCATCTGATGGCATTCTCAATGCAGCAAAAACTTTTTTCATCGGATCAACAATTAACTCATTGGTTGATTGTGATGATTGTGATGAAAGTACAGGTATTGATGTTGTTGTTGATAACGTTGATTTTCTCTAATTAAAAAATCATATTATTTAAATGCATTTGAATGATATTTTAAAGAAATGAAAAATTTACCTTGATTTTAAATTCTTTGGCAGATTGATCTGTTATTTCAGAGTTCTGATTTGAAGATAATGTTGTAGTTGTTGTTGATATATCATTATCATCATCAATTGATACTGTGTTAGCAAAATCTATATTTAAAGTCGCTGCAACTTCTGCCATTTGTTTTTTAATTTTTTCAGGCTAAAAAATTATTAAATAATTAATTTTAATTTTGATCGTTCGTTTATAATTAATATTTTTTTAATAAATCACTCACGTCTACTTTTCCACTACGTAATTCAGTGATCCCAATATGTCCAGTATGCTTTATAAAATAATGATTTGAAAATGTTAGTAATAATGTCTTCAATGATTTTAAATTAAAGTTATTCAAGTTTAATTTCAAATTCTATTTATATTAAATTTGCACATTTCTTTCCCTCATTCCCATTCGAATAATGCAAAAACACTCACTTGAAAATTAGAAGGAAGACTGATAATTCCTTTATGGACTTTCCTTTTTGTTTTTGATATTTTTGTTTTATTTTTAACGAACTTTGTATTCGATGATAATTTATCATTATTTTTATTATTGTTGTTTGCAATGTTAAGGTTGTTGGCACTAGTATGATAAGATTGAGAACTAATACCAGTTTCTTTGACTTGTTTATTTGAGGATAAAGATGCACAATTTCCCATTTTTACAAGTAATAAATTTTTTCAAAGGTAAAAAACATACAATGTATGTAACTTAATTTCTCAAGATTTTGTGTGTAAACTTAGTGGAATGAATTTCAAGGGGAAATAAACCCCCTATTATTTAATTATTTATATTTGATTTTTTTTAGTATTAACCACATACTACCTATAATGACAAATTTTTCGGGAATAAGATTGCGAAACATTATTATTATTAGAATTTTTCATTTTCATTGACAAGAACAAGATTTGTATCCCAACACATCCAATTAATATGGAAATTTCAAATCATTATCGGAAATTTATTCCACATAAGCTAACATTTATAGTTAAAAAAAAAGTTTATTATATTTTGGTATGCATATCAGATAGCCTAAAGAGCAGAAGATGTTAATCAATCTCGTTTTGGTTATTTTTTAGCTCTCTTCGCACACTAAATACTAAGTTATAATAATTATCGTGATAAATGTAATCAAGTTCTGCAACTCTATAATCGAATAATAACTTGTAAATTCAATATAAACACAATAAGAATTCATAAAGCAATCTGATCAGGTTTATTAACTCTCGCCAAGTGATGTTATTATTAGCATTACGTCCATAAATTTTCGCTGTGAGCGCAAAAAGGGTCAATCGAGACTCCTTTCTGGATAAACACGACAATAATAATAAATAACAGAATATCAATAAACAAGACAACCATAAATAGCAATCATCATTGGTTACTTTCCTCCACTGATCCATAACACCATTTTCCTAGGAACACTCTGGGTGAATTACTCATTGAACGTAATTTCACATCAAAGTTCGACGGAAATGCTTGTCGTTTATCATTGTCTGATAGACAAGTTCATTTGATTGGTTGATTGAGGAAGTGCATAGAATGCAAGACAATCAAGTGGAATAGAAATGATTAGATGATCTAGATAAGATAAGAAAAATGGAATGAGGAGAGTGTAAATGAGGGCAAGAAACTCGCATAAAATTGATTGAATAGCGTTCCATCTGCAATAATAAAAAATTAAAAAAAATGACGCAGATATGCAAGCTATCTTTGCATTTAATAACGTTTAGAAACCGGTTAGTAAAGATAACAGAAGCATCAGGGTCTAGAATATTGCCAATAGGCAATGTATAGACTCCCTACGATCGATAAAAATGGACGTAATATTAACGACATTACGTCAAGATAATGCTTGCATTACATGCCTAACCAAATCCTAGTTAGCAAGTCATCAAGTTTTATATTTGTTAGCAATTGGCCTTTAAATATTGACAACATTTAAGTTTAAACTTGATATCAATCAATAGAAATCTTGACAATTTCTTTCACTCCTATCGAAAAATCTGTTGTGAGCAACAGTCCCAACATTAGAACTATCAAGCTCATAGTTTTTTAAATGAAAGGAATTATTGGCATTAAAATAAACCAAAGATTGGAAAACTTTGTCTTCCTTTAGAAAAATTGAATGTCATTGTTGTATGTGAAATATTCCTTGTTGATCGGCTAATTTAATTTTAACAATGTTATCAAATACAATATTTTTTCTAGAATCAACAATCAAGACATGAGAACAGTCTTGTAAAATCTTCCGAGGAATTGAAGATGATAGAACAATAAAGTTTGGGAGAAAACACAGAATCTATATTCTCATTGCGATGCTTATTTTTGTACTGACTTTATCTTCATAAACAGATCAGTTGCTTCAAGACGGACGGAAGACGAATTCAAAAAGTTGACCAATTATTTTGAAGTTGATCAAGGGAAGAGGAAACCCATGCAATGGGTGTGATGATTCAAACAAGAAAGCAAAAAATTTTGCTATTATTATTATACCTAAAATCATATAGGGTTCAAAAAAATGGAATAGTTGGTTTTAAAGAGATGACGGGTAATAAGTCTTTATTCTCTCGTCTATAAGAAAATGCAACATCCCTCCAAAAAATAATAAAAACTCATTGAACTTTTTAAAAATTAAATTGATACATGTGGGTGGGGTCCCTGTAAGGGAAGAAGATCCTTTTTCAATTCATTCAACTTATCTAAATTTTGACCATATGCGCATCTCACTTTGCCAATTCATCAGCTTCACCTTCTGCATCATCTATATATATAACCAGAATCCTTTGTGCCACCCTTCTCGTTATAATTTACTCCAAACTTATATCGTCTTTTGAACAAATGTATTAAATCTTGATAAAGGAAATTGGTAGTTTGGATTTCATCAAGCAGCAGTGCTTGTAGGACATGATATTAATGAAAACAGTGATATAAATATGAGGTTTAAAGAGCCATCGAGTGTAAATATTGACACTGTAGAATGAGCGAAAGCTGTTGATGTTGGGTCGACCGGGGCAAATTTATCAGGTTTATGATCAATGCTGTTCTTCGGCGAGCTTCGTGAAGATTTCAACATCAAACTGGTATTAGATTGTACGTGCCATTTAGTTGAAATGTTGCCTTTTTTGTGCTAAACCATAGTAATAGTAATAGATAAAAAAATATGGTGACAAACCAGGATTACCAGAAGTTGTTGACATAGGTAATATAACAATGCCAAGAACTAAACTTAGACAAAGATATCATGCATGGTATAGTGACTAGACAATTAGCCAAAGCAAAAAAGGAAAAAGTACTTGTATTTTTTATTTTTGGTGTGAACAAGTCGTGCTTTAGATATGAACCCCTGAAACTTTTTGACACTAAATATGCAGAGCAATTCTGCTCTTTAATTTGTTATTATATATTAAAAAAAAATAGAATAATTTAACCGTATTTAGAAGAATACTCAGTTTTATAACATTTGATTCAAAGTATAGAAATTTCTACGAATTAAAAAAATTACATATTAGTAACAATTGTCATTGTCATACAATAACAAAGTTTCAAAGAATTCCATTATTTTTTTAAACAAAAAAACGAGATTGTAAATTCTTGCTTAAAATGCTTACATTTTTTATATAAAAAATATACAATTTTCTTCTTCTATTATTTCAAAAAAAAAAAAAAAATCATAATAAAATATAAATCACCCACATGCCGTATATAAATATAATAATCATACTCCTTCGCATAAAGTCAGATTCGAAACATCTAATTTGATGTTGAGAAACCCAAAATGTCGGTCAACTGCATATTTTGATATAAAAAATGCTATTGTCGTATGAAATACATTCACGGCAAGAAGTTTTTGGAGCTATTCCATATTCAGTTCGGCAGCTCCGTACCTGAATATGGACTTCTGGAGAACTTTTTGATTATTACGAATAAATAAATATCTGATTCACCGCCACCATATACAATAGAATCAGATATTTATTTATTTGTGTGATCATGTGGAAATTTTGTCCTGCTCGTATTCAATAAAAACGAAACTTAAACGAACACACGCATACGCGGACGTCATCTTATAATGGAGAGGACTTGGAGTATCGGAGGAAAAAGACCTAAAATCACATCGAACTCGAACAGTTTAGGGTCAGGCATCCTCACACAAGATGACATTGAACTTTGTTTATAGATGTTCTGGAAAGAAACCTTAGGACTTCTCTAATTGTATTACTTGAAATCAGAATTCATTGATAATGCCATAATTCACTTTTATTTATTTAAATTGTAACATGTAGTTTTTTTTTTAAAATAAATAAATAAATTCTTTTAATGATTTGCAAAGTAAATAATAATAATAATAAATATTATTAAATAAAGAGGAAACCTGGATCGATCGGTCAATTATCTGAGTTGTCCTCCACGTTATCAATTACGGACGAATCACGAACGGTCCCAAAAATAAACAATATATATTGATTGGTGCGATTTCATGTAATGCTACGTAATAGTAATTTGAAATGTTACACTATTTTTTTTATATTGTGCAAAACATTCTGCAATAAAAAGTAAGTGATAACTGGATCTGAACTTTGATCTCCAATTTTAGAGTGATAGTGAAGTTTCAGGGAGCAATGAGTTCCGTATAACATTCGTGTAACAATAGATTTCCACTATGCTATACTGATACTAATACAAAAAAAAACCATTTATGGGATGATAATTATTTGTTACAAGTATGGATTGTTAATATATTTATTATAAATATTTGTTTCATTTTCCTTTATTTTTTTAAAAAAATTTTTATTATATAATAAACACTCGATACAAAATTTATTAGTTTTTATTCATATTTTTGTGCTTTGATAGTACATTTTTAATTTTAAAATATTCACAATTTAATAATAACCCATCCACATTCCTTCCTCCTTTCCTCCTTCACTCTATTCTATCTATTTTATTTTATTATATTCACAACACATTTTCAGGAAAATGGCTGACTCCTTCATAAAAAGAGAATTTGCACCAAAACGTCTATCTTTTTGGATTTTTTGGTTTAGTAGTCATATAGGTCTTTTCTTTTATGGTTTTTACAAACAAAAGGATGACCCAGAACTTGCTCATCTCAACACAATTGGATTTTCAGTTTGGACTTCTCGTGGTGCTGGTTTATGTTTAGCTTATGATGGTGCTTTGATACTTTTACCTGTCTGTAGAAACATCATAAAATA